TGTGCAACTGTCCTTGGATTCCAAATCGTTCTATTTTGGTCAACAGCAGGCGATGATTCACTGAATAAAAGCCTTGATGAAATCCAGATAGCACACCTCTACGGTTTTACCCTCATCTACTTTTGCAGTAACATCCTCCAAAAAGCACAGCAGGTTTGTTAGGCATGAACGTTGCTTAAGGAAACCATGCTGTGCCTCTGTCATGAGTATGTTACGTTCCAGATGCTTCACCAAATGCGTTTTAACTATCTTTTCTAGTGCCTTACATAGTACGCTAGTTAAGCGAACAGATCGATAGTTTTTACATCTGTCTTCTTACCTCCCTTGTGTATGGCGGTTTTCCCTTTTGCCCGGATATCTTAATGGAGCGAAAAGATCCTGGTCACGTCAGCTTGAGCAGGATTGTTCAATTAGGTTCCAGGATGTCCAGTCCAGTTGACGGCGGTGTGCCAGTTAGTGCAATTTCTTGCAGCGGTGGGTTCCAGGGATCGTTCAATGCTGTGACAGATGGAAGCGAAAGATCATACTTCTTCAATTTTGTGATCAAAAACTTCAGGAGAGTTGTGTGTTGACCTATCACTCTCGGTCGACGTTGAACGGGCTCTTCCATGGTCGGTGGAATTTCGCAGGCATGCCCGCGGGGGTCACCGGTTCCAGGAGCCACACACGGTCACCCGGTTGGAACACTGAGGGGTGGGCTCGGCGGTCATAGTATGATTTATGGTATCTTTGTGCAGCCTGGAGGTGTTGGCGGGCCAGGGCGTGGGTGCGCTGGAGACCGGTTAGGAGTTGGCGGACATATGAGGTGGAGCACAATGTTTCAGTAGGTCCAGTTGAGAGGCGGACGTCGGATGGTAGGCGGATTTCCCTTCCAGTCATCATGCAGTACGGGTTTGGCCAATGGAAGCGTAAACCGTGGCGCGGTAGGTCAGGAGAAAGCGCGGAAGGGCGGTATCCCATTGGTCGATTGTTTCGTGATTGACGAAGGTGCGCAGGAGTCCTTTAAGAGTGCGGTTAGTGCGTTCTACGAGGCCGTTACCCTCGGGATGATAGGCTGTTGTGCGCGTCTTTTTGATATTTAGAATATGACAAAGCTCACGAATGAGCAGGCTGTCGAAGTTTGAACCTTGGTCAGAATGCAATTGGTAGGGGATACCCCATCTAGCAAACCATTCAATGAAAATCGTTTTGGCCACCGTCCAGGCGTCCGTTCTGTGCAGCGGTACCGCCTCGCACCATTTCGTGAAATGATCGACCATTACCAGGATGTAGCGGTTGCCACTCTTTGTCAACGGCAATGGGCCCATGATGTCGACAGCCAAGATCTCGTTGGGAAAACCCGCGCTGAGATGTTGGAGGGGTGCACGGGGAACAGGTGTTGAGTTCTTGAGTTGGGTACACAAAGTGCATGACTCACAGTATAGACGTATGTCGCGCCGCATGTGTGTCCACCAGAAACGTTGGCGAGAAGCCTCCTCCAGTTTGTTTTGCCCGGCATGACCAAGTTCCTCGTGCAGGCGGGTTAGCACAGCATCCTTGGCTGCTGGAGGGACCACGATTCGCCGTACGTAATCCGGGCCGTCTTGGTAGTACAGGACACCATCGACAATTCGAAGCTGCGGCCAGAGGGCCCATAGACACTTGGTGAAATAGCTGGCACCCTGCATCTCATGGTTAGATGGGCGTGGTAATTGCTGAGATAGGGGTCGGTAAATGGGTTGTAGCTCCGGGTCGGTCTCTTGTAGGCTTTTCCAATCCGCGATCTCGGGTTGGTGGAGGGGTATGGTGATTGCGGCTGCGGTGCAGGTGGGGCAGTCACCGTGAGCGCGGCGAGGACGGCGAGATAGGGCATCTGCATTGCCATGTTTGTTGCCGGGTCGGTGTTCACTAACAAAATCGTACTCTTGGATAATTTCTTGCCACCGGGCAATTTGTCCTTGAGGATCACGAAAATTCTGGATCCATAGGAGGGACTTGTGGTCTGTCCGGAGGAGGAACTGTCGACCCAGCAGGTACGGACGGAAGTGTTTGAGAAATTGAACGACCGCAAACATTTCCTTCCGTGTCGTGCAGTAATTTTGCTCCCGCGGGGTCAGAACCTTGCTGGCGTACGCGATGACATGTTCGGATCCATCTGGGCCCCTTTGTGAGAGGACGGCGCCGATAGAGTGATCACTCGCGTCGGTGTCCAGTATAAAGATACCAGCGTTTGCGGAGGTGTCAGGGTATGCCAAGATAGGGGTATCGCACAGGCGGTTGCGGAGGTCGGTAAAGGCCTTGGCCTCACGGTCAGTCCACTGGAAAGGGGTGTTTCGACGAAGCAGATTCGTGAGTTGTGACGCGAGGTGTGCGAAACCAGCGATAAAGCGACGATAGTACGAGGCAAGCCCCAGAAAACAACGGACATCTTCGACTGATGTGGGTGTGGGCCATGTGCGGATCTGATCGACCTTC